TTTTACTTTGTTTCCACTGGAACCAATCGGCTAAACCACCAAAGAAAATTAATTGTCATCAATCGTGTTTTCCTTTGTTTTTGCAAGAACCAAACAACCAAACAAGCTTTCAGGTACTGTTTAAAAAAAAGAAAAACAACCAAACAAACATATATTCTCATTTTCAAGAGAACCCAAATTTTCTTTTCAAATATCTCTAAGGTTTAAATACCAATTTGGTGCCTCAACTTTCCACTTTGGCATCAAAATTATCTCTCAACTTTAAAAGGTATCAAAATTATTCTTAAACTTTTATTTTTAGTACTAAAATAGTCCTTTCATCAATTAAATAGACAAGTGACATGTTAAGTTGCTAGATAATTATATTTTTTTGAAAAAATACTGACGTGGAAAAGAAAACACATATAAATTGATGAGGTGGCACTTTTTTTTTGTCTATGTGACATTTTTTTTTGTTAAATGGTACTTTTTAATTACAACATACAAATAAGCAACCATTTGTTATTAATTAATTAAATTAATTTCCAAAATTAACTTTCTTCTTCCTTTCTCTCTCTCTCTCTCTCTCTCTCTCTCTCTCTCTCGTCCCTGGGCCATCATCCCTCCATCTCTTCCAACATCTCTTCCCTTTCCATTTTTTCAGTTTACCCCTTTCCCCATTTCATAAATTTTAAGATTTTCTCTTTCAATGTTGGTGATTTTCATTTCACCCCCAAATCTCTACATCCCAAACCATTGGAAACCTTAACCATAGCCCCTAAACCAAATGCTTTTGCTTTTCATTGATCCTGAAGAAGATGAACCGATGGTGGAGTACCATCAACAGCGATGCAATTTCTCTTGCTTTGGGTCAATATTCAAAAAATTGAACTCTAATTCTTCCCCAGATCTGGCAGTACCCACAAACCCAAATCTGGTTCTTCACTTATGGCTCCAATTATGTTGACAAAAAATGGTTCCAATTCTTTGTAGGGAGACATTGACGTTGGATGGGAAGTTGATGGAATTTATGCAGATCATCTCTTTCCATGGCTGTCGTGTTTGAGAAAAACCCAGATCTGGGTTTGAGAAAGAGGGAAGAGAGAGAAGAAGAAGAAAAAGAAAGAGGAAAGTGAGAAAATTTGGTTAGTGAATGTGATTCGGATAGCAGCAGGTAACCCATAATTGCACCTAAACTCTCTAGATCCGATTGAACCCACACTTTGTGAAGAAGAACTAGCCTCCATAAATCTTGCTGGGGATTATGTTTGTTGAAGAAAGAAGAAAAAGGATTCTAGGGTTTCACAGGTTATGGAAGAGAAAGACACAGAGAGAGTGTTTGCTGTGGGTGGGGAACTCGATTGAAACTAAAAAAAATATATATATATATATATATAATATAAATCTCATGTGAGCCCCACAAAAAAGTGAATTTGAAAACGGGAGCAATCGACGTGTAAAAACCATGTCATAAAATTTTCTTTGCTGGACTTACATGTGATTAAGATTCAAAAAAGTCAATGATTTTGTGACGTTTTAATGTGTCACCTGTTTACTTAACTGATGGAAAGATCATTTTAGTATCAAAAATAAAAGTTTAGGGTTAATTTTAATATTTTTTAAAATTGAAGGATAATTTTGATACCAAAGTGAAAAGTTGAGGGACTAAAATGGTATTTAAACCTATCTCTAAATTCTACAAACTAAATTGATAAAGAGGAAAAAAAAATGAAATTTGCTTTCATTTTCCAAATTTTATTAAACTCAAAACAGAAAAGAACGAGGATTACATGAAACAGAGCATGACAAATCTCTGTTAGCATGAATTTCATATAGCAAATTCGGGAAAAATTAAGCAAAAATCAAAATTGTAAAATTGGATCCACTGTGTAGTCTCAAAATTTTCATTAATAAATTCTAATTTTCAAAAAAACAACTCAAACAAGCAAAACCCATTTAATATCCTTTGACAAATTTCAGAATAACAGAGGATAGAAAGACACAACATAGAAGCACAAACAATTTCTATGTTCACTTCAGATCTACAAGGTAGTTGAGTACCGATCCGAGAAAAATGTTAGAGAACCATTAAGAAGCTCCCAAAATGGCAGTCAAAAAGGAACCTCCACTCTAATTCTTGTGATTGATCTTATTCGAGTCTTAAGATATGACAAAAACTGAGGAAAGAAGGATGGGAGGAGGAAGAAAGGGGGAAGAAAAGAGAAGAAGATGCAAGAGGAGGAAGAAAAGGCGAAGTCACAAAGAAGTAGAATGAGAAGGAAGAAGAAAAGGAGCTGCTTTTGAATGTTGACAGAGGAGATGGCTCCCAATGGCATCGACATGAAAATCTAGGAAGGGGATAGGAAACGATTTGCTAAAGGAGAGGGGTAAAAACCAAAGTTCTCAATATCGTATCTGCACGTATATCGGTTTTGTTACTGAAATGATACGTATTAGATATCGTAATTTTTTGCGTACCGTTTCAGATTTATTGATATAAATATATATATTTTTACAAATTAAATATCAAATTTTAAAATAAAATAAGAGATACTAATGTTTAAAATCATCATATTCCTATAAATTAAAAACAAGTTTAAAATGATTATTTTTAGTTCCTCAACTTTTTAATATATGTATAGTTTTTGTCCATCTGCTTTAAGTTAAGGGATTAAAAATATGTATATTTAGATGAACTTAACAGAGTAATTGATAGAGAAACTAAAAAAAATACATTTTTCATAATTAATGGACTAAAAAAGTACATAAAAAAGTTAAAAAATAAAAATTATATAAAACATTAAAGTTGAGCACCAAAAACAAAATTTATCCTTTTTAAACTTAAATTGAGTGGTATCAATCAATTTTCATGCATCGGTTAATAAGTCGAAATATTAGTTGATACATCAAAATTTGATTGAAACGGATGAAATTTGATCGAAACAAAATTGAATTATATACTGTTTTGGTTTAATGACTATGGTAAAAACTGAAAATAAAATTTAGTCATGAGTAAACACACAAGGTACTGGGGATAAGATTTATTTAATGGGGATAGGATGGGATACACATCATCCCATCTTTTTAGCCCACCAAATGTTGGATATAGTGGGATTGGATAAAAAAATATATCCTATCCCACTATTTAGCCAAGGCTCCAAACGAGGTCACCAAATCTTTGCGCGAGGAGCATTAGGTACGCTCTCGTAATATCCTTTTTAAATATATTTTTATATGATTCAATCACGTGAATATAAATAAATGTGATTGATAATTAATAATTTATATTAAAATTTATAAGTTTAAAATTTAAAATTATAACAAATTTTATTAAATTTATATAAAATGTGTTTCAATTAAATAAAAAATATCTAAATAAAATTATTGAAAAGAGTCTTATCATTTTTTAATTTTTATTGACATGCCAACTACTAATGAAAATGAAAATAAAAAAAATGATAAATTATTATTATATTTTCTGACACAAATTATAACTTTTGTAAAAAAAATGTTTGAATAATTATGTTTGATAAAATTCTAATTTCAATGGTAAGGAAACAAAACGATTTTATCAAGTTGTTTGTTACTTGACTTCTTGGAAATCATCCTTTGGTGAGGTTGAGAGTTTGAGGCACAGGGTTGTGAGATTCTAAAACGTAATGTACTAATTGCTATTAAAAAAAACATTTTTTTTAGTGGAAACAAAATAACTTTGGAAACTAGACAAACAAAACACTAGTAAGGGCCTTTTTTTTTTTTTTTTTTTTTAAATTTTTTAATTTTTTTTTGTTGAATCAATGTATAGGACAATAGTGTTCCACATTGTCCACTGTGAGTTCAGGTGATTCACTGGTTTCATATAATATACATTAAATCTAAATGGACAAGTCATTTACAGACAACAATGGCTTGTAAGCTTATTAATTAGCTCCCACAGCCCCACTCCCATAGACACAAAGTCAAGTTATCCGAATTCATATAATATACACTAGACAGCATGCCATGTTATATTCAAGTTATCCGATAAAAAGAATGCGTTTTAGAAAAATTTGTGTAGGGTTCAAAATATCCATTTATTACTTTCTTTGTCATACTAATTAAGAAAAAGATAATTCAATAATAATTTTTTTTTAAGAATTTTAAATTCAAATAGCATAATATGTTAATATATTAAATTAAAAAATAAAAAATTATTTATTATTATATAACTTAAAATTTAAAAAATATTTAAATATGATACACAGGTGCACGCAGTCACTCGCAATCTAATTGATGCATAAGGATGTTCCTCAAAAAAAAAAAAAAATGATGCATAAGGATATTCAATCCTTTTTCCCTGAAAGTGTCAGCGGCAATTTAATTTACAGAGTTTTTTGAACAGTGAAAATAATTTTTTTGATCAGCCAAAAAAAAATTAATTTAATGAAGCACAAGGGTGCTCCTGCCCTTATACAAAAATAGGAGATCAGAACAGAGGAGAGCCACTCTCCTAATAACCAGAAAAAACATCTAAACAACCACCACTTAAACCAAAAAGCGTCAGGTGGCCAAAACAAAACATTAAAGAGAAATCTGCTCCGCCTATCCATCAACTGGAGGTAGCTACCGCTTTATAGAACTGCTTCCTCATCCTTTTATGTTTTTTGATAGACATAGCACACTCCATTGGACAGGATTGCCATTCATAAAAGGAAAAAACACAGCCATTGACTTTGGATTTAATCCATAAAAAGGTTTTAACTTGCATCCTTTCCAGCAGGTTTTCTGGTATTCCTTCATCTTTTCGAAACACTTGAACATTCCTTCTATACCATAAATACCAAGCGACTACTAGAAAAACACATGAGCCCATTTCCTTCCCAACTATTCTGCCCAAACCACCAATGAAGAATTCTGCCACTCCCACAACTGTGTTAGGCAGAACAGACTCTAAGCCCCACCAACTCAACACTTGAGTCCAAGCTAACCACGCATTATCACATACACAAAATAAATGATTAACTTCCTCCACCTTCCCATTACACCATTCGCATAAAACCCCCTCCTGCAACAATATCCCTCGTTTTTGCAAGTTATTCTTTGTTGGGAGTCTATCTAAACACAGTTGCCACCCAAAAAAAGCCACTTTGGATGGCACCAACCTGCACCCTATTAGTTTGCACATCTGGTCCTCCAAAACCCTCTCGGAAGAAGCTAAAAAATCATACGCTAGCTTCACCACATATTTACCATCCATCCCATGGACCCACTTCCAAACATCCCCAGCCCCCTCCTTTAGATTGACACCCTCCAGCACCTTTTCCAACAATTCTTCCTCATCTTTCTCTCGCCCTATTGTACCCCTCCTCCACTCCACCCGCCAGCACCATCTACCCTCCTCCCAAGTCCCCATTTCAGCAACCTTGCCCTCCTTCTTTACAGATAGTGCAAATAACCTTGGAAAAAGATCCCTAAGGCTCTTATCTCCAACCCACCTATTAGACTAGAGCTCCACTCTATTTCCTTCTCCCACCTTCCACTTGAAGCCCTCAACTAACATGTTCCTAAGTTTAAGAGGCAGACCCCCTATCCTTATGATGTCCCTCCAAAGCTTTGACACCCTTAAACACTCAATTGAAGTAATATCAACCTCCTCCCTATCTCCATAATATTTCTCCCTCACCACCCTTTTCCATAGACTCTCGACCTCGTCACCTAACCTATACCACCACTTTCCTATCATTGCCCAATTTTTCCTCTGTAAATCTGGCACCCCAAGACCCCCTTTGGCTTTATCACGACATACATCTTCCCATCTAACCCACGAAATTTTCTTAATTGACCCTGTCCCGCCCCATAAAAAATTCCTTTGAGTTCTAATCAACTCTTCAAGCACAGAATTTGGTAATAAATATAAGGACATATAAAAAATGGGTAGTGCAGAGAGTACCGATTTTAGCAAGATGAGGCGGCCTCCAAAGGAAAGAGTAGCGGCCTTCCAGATAGCGAGTTTGGCACGGAATTTATTTACGACCAGCTCCCATAATTTCTTGCTCCCAAATCTGCCATCAACAGGTAATCCCAGATAAAGAAAAGGTGCTCTACCAACCCTACAATGTAACATACTCGCTGCACCTTTGAGCCATTTTTCAGACACATTGTAACCAAAAACGCTGCTCTTACTAAAGTTAATCCTCAATCCTGACATAAGCTCAAACCATATTAGGATGTCCTTCACCATACGTATATTCTCTGCATCCGCTCTGCCCATTATAATTGTATCATCCGCGAACTGGAGCAACGACACTGACAAACCTTTCTTACCAATCTCAATCCCGTGCAACATTTCCTCATTTACTGCTCTCTTTACCAGCCCTTGTAACCCCTCTGCAATCATCAAAAAGAGAAAAGGAGATAAAGGATCACCTTGTCTCAAACCTTTACCCATCTCAAATTCCTTTGTCGGGCTTCCGTTTACCAGGACCGAGATTCTCGCCATTGAAAGACATTCCCTAATCTAGCCTCTCCACTTTGTTCCAAAGCCAAGCCTCTCCATCATCCAGTCCAAAAAGGACCAATCTACGCAATCATATGCCTTTTCGAAATCTGCTTTGAAAACAAAAGCTGGCTGTTTCTTCCTTTTAATTTCATCCACAACTTCATTTAGCACCAAGACACTATCCACCAACTGTCGGCCCCCTACAAAGGCAGATTGCGTTTCACTCACTATTTCTGCTATCACAGATTTCAATCTATTTGCCAGCACCTTCGCTAATAATTTATAGACACATCCTAACAAGCTAATGGGTCTATAATCCTTTAGTCCCCCAGCATTCAACTTTTTAGGAATCAAGGCTATAAAAGAAGCATTTAGTCCCCTCACCAATTTTCCATTACGATGGAATTCAGAAAAAAAGTTGATGAAGTCCTCCTTTATGCTTTGCCATGCAAATTTAAGGAAGTTGAAATTGTATCCGTCCGGTCCCGGTGCCTTTGAACCATCACAGCTCCTTAACACTTCCTCGATTTCTTTAGCTGAAAAAGATCTTTCTAGCCAATCCTTCTTCTCCTCAGAGATCTGCTAGAATCTAATATTCCCAGGCTTGGGTCTATTCCATGACTCTCCTTGAAACAGGCTTCTAAAATATCTGCAGACCTCATTTTTGACTAAATCTGGATCTTCAATCCATGCCCCTTCACACATTAAACCCGCAATATTATTCTGTGCCCTTCTTCCTTTTGTGACTCTATGAAAAAAACGGGTATTTGCATCTCCCTCACACACCCATTTACTTCTTGATTTCTGCTTCCAGATAAGTTCCTTTTTTCTCAAAACATCCCACATCTCAGAGAATCCTTCTTGTCTCTTCACAATCTCAGCATCTTCCAGATCAGCTATCTCATTCTGCATATCAACCTGCTCAATCTTTTTTACTGCTTGCTCATATTGAGCTTCCATGTTCCCAAAGACTTCCTTGTTCCAACCTTTTAAAAATCCTTTGAGTAATTTCAGCTTTTGCTGGCACTTATACCCCGCAAAGCCCTCGACCTCCATCTCACTCCATTTATCTTCTACAAGCTTCTTAAAATCTGGATGTTGTTGCCATGCGTCCAAAACCCGGAAAGGTCTTGGTCCCCAATCTGTTGTTCTGGACTTCAACACAATAGCGCAATGATCAGAGATATTCCTTGGCAATCCTTGCTGTATCCACTGCCCTTCCATATTGCTCATCTTAGTGCTCAATAAAAATCTGTCCAATCTACTCCTTGCTGTACCATCTGGCTTATACCATGTATACCTTCTATTCGACAGTTTGACATCCACCAAATCCGTTGTCACAATAAACTCATCAAAATCCTTCATGTCCGGGCTCTCCCCTGTTCTTCCTTTTCTTTCCTCAGGACCTCTCACTGCATTAAAATCCCCTGCTATTAACCAACATCCCTCCTTGTCTGTCACCATTCTCCTCAGCTCCTCCCACAAATTAGCTTTCTTCTGTCTCTCCTTTGGACCATACACGTTTATAAAAAAATACAGCTGTTTATTTACACTCCATTCCCCTGATATTCCCACGAACCCATCTCCACTGAATTCTTCCCTCTTAACAAAATACTGCTTGTCCCATATACATAGTAGACCCCCCGACGCTCCAGAAGAGCCCTTCGCAACCCAATCAAACTCATCTGAATTCCACAACTGTCTACAAATACCAACATCCACCTTTTCTAACTTTGTTTCCTTTCCTTCCCCAGCTTGAAAATAATATTATTGCAACAGTAAAATAAGCAGCGAAATTCATACTTTTGCGATGTTCGTTGGTTTTCGGGTTTGTGTGTGTCTTTGCTTTGCCTTGGTAAATCAGACAACCATGCAGCTTTGTCTCAGATTTTTTTTTTTTCATTTTTTGAACATGCTAAAATATTTTTAAAAAAAAAGAAGAGAGAGAAGGGAAAGAATGGGAGCCAATCAGAGGGGAAGATTGGGCTACAAGAATTAAAAATATTTCAAACTTGGGTCCATTTAATTTTGACTTTAAATATATTATTGGATATTTTTTTTCTTATTTAGTTGGGTTTGTTTTTTTTATTTTTTTAAAATTTTAAGGTTTTGTTTTGTTTTGGGTTCCCTTAAAAAAAAAGAAAAAAGAAAAAAAAGGGGATATAGTATGGGTTCGAGTTTTGAATCCGTCAAATGCAATTGTGTATAAGGCCCTTCAAGTCCAATTAAGTTCAGCTTAATATTGTAATCATAGTTTAGTTGGCATTGGTACACAGTAAGTGAGATCCACTTCCACTGAAACAGAAGTAGGGTCTAGCCCGGATTCTCGCACTCTACAGAATCTACTAGGGCCAATAGGCCCAATACCAATGGTAAGTCGTAAGTCCTACTTAAGATTTAAGGATTTAAGCCCATATACTATAGAAAATTTGTTGAATTAAGCCCCCCAAAATACTATTTTTAATAAAAATGCGATGCCTCAAGGCCAGCCAATGGGATGGGATTGATGAGAACTGAAAATATATGATGCCTCATTACATCATCTTAAGAGTCATGGTTGTCTCTATGTTGGTACATAAATTAAATCATTCTTGTGAGGTTTATTATAGTTTCAATAAAAGTTTGAGGAAAAGGAGAGGGCTTAAATTCATCTTTAGTTTCATTTGGTATAACGATTCGGAAGTATTGATTAGTAATTTTACCTAAACTATTAAGAATAAGTGTTTGGTAAATTTATTTATTTTGAAATTATTACAAATTAAGTGTTTGAAAAAAATATGTGTTTAGCGATTTAATACTAACAGATAGTGATTAGGTCGAAACCGTTAATAAGTTGAAAAGACTATCTAAGGTGACTTTTTGTATCAAACTGTTAGTGGATTGAAATTTTTTAATTTTATTGATAAATTTCTCCTTCTAATTTTTTGCCACAATATTTAATTAGTAGTAATCTAATTTGTTTCAGCCTTTTTTTTTTCTTTTTATTAACATGAAATGATTATTATACTTTTCTATTTTTACATTAATTTATCATTAAAAAAATTATATTAACTTAATAAATAAAATTGGCTAATTAAAAGAAATGATTAAAAATTTATTTCTTCTTTATTTAAAATAATATAATTTTTTGTTGAAAATAGAAAGGTGTGATTCATATTTTTATATTATATAATATTTATTATTATTATTATTATTATAAAATTAATAATTTTAATAATGAAATAT